CCCTCATTCTCTCTAGTATTTACTTTTCTTGCAATATTCAAAGGAGCTTAAGTAAACTATATTATGTTGTCAGCAAGTAGCATTCAGATCACGGTGATCACACAAAAGAGACAAAGCAAAGTCTTGTGGCTTCGAGGTTAAGGTGTTCGCCTCTCATTCGAAGGTCCGGAGTTCGAATCTCGGTAGCGACGGAAAAATGTTCTTCTCTAAAATTGTCTCCTTTCACCTCCTTTCCTGCTCTCTAGCAATGTTCTGTCGTCTACACTTTCTGCCCCCACTCACTCACCTACTTTGCTCCCTCCTCAGGGATCCTGACTCTTTCTGCAGCCTTTCTACGGCTACTCTATGGCTCCTTCTTAATGCTGTTTTTTAGCCATTCCTCTTGTCTTCTGGAAGGAAAGATCTACACCTAGCCTCCTCGGACAAGGGTGAATAATCTCGGAGTACCCGTGTGCAAGTTGCACACGTTAAAGATACCTTGGTGGTCTAAAATCGGTCGGAGTAGGCTTCGGCCGCTGCTCGGGCAAAATTCAAAATTTACTGCCAACTGGCGCTCATATAACCTTTTGCAGTTTCGAGTTTCGAGCGCTTTAAAACACACCAAAAAACTGGTTGTACGCTACCTAGCCGCCGCCCTACCCCCCTCCTCTCCCCCTCCCCTGCGTCAATGGCAAAATTGTGGGGAAGAGAATACTTCCTTTGCCCGCCACTGCGGGCTACAACTCCAACGAGCGCCGCCAGTTGTACACGGGCCTGGGAAGCGTTTCAATACCCGTGGCGTTTGGCGGACGGACGACACAGTCAGATAGACGAGTTTAAACTCCTCACGCGCAAGGACGGGTTTCCGCAACTTCTCGGCCTTGTTTCAAGACGTATTTATTTATAGTATCTTCTTAGATCGGCTTAGTGTTTTAGTCAACTAATGTGTGCTCACTTTAACAGTGGGAAAGAAAATTGAATTGTTGTTAAGTGTAGAAATATAACGGCTTATAATAGAAATAAAGCTTAGCGTGGGTTTGGCCACTAATTGAGATTACCTTCCTGCTTCATCATAACCATTATAATACTGCTACAGATCTAGATCTAGATCTAGATTAGATCTCTGACTAATTTATAGCTCTGGTAAATTGTTGAGAGTGTAGCATAGGCTGTGTTATTCTGGTGAACCAGGATGTTGCTCTGATCGTGTGGAAGCAGGTGAATTCAGAATGCCATTTCGACATTACTTTTTTCCTTCACAACAGTTTATTAACTGTCATATAAAGTTAATTACTCGGTCAGCTTTTCCTACCTATTTGGGAACTCCCATTTTTCTCTCTATACACTATACACACAATGATCGGTCTATTTTATTCGCTGTCTGTTTTGCGTGCTCTTGTTTCACGCTTTGCGCAGGTATCGTTATTATTATATACATGATATAGTTCGTCGTCTATCACACCAAAGGGCGTATCCCTGTTTTCTTACTTTTTCAGGAGAACGATTTAAAGATTTTCAGACTAAGGTTGCTTTATCCTTTTCCCTTGTCGTTATAGGAATTTGCATCCTACCATCGCAATATTTGGATATTGTGTGCATGATAAGATATAAAACAATCAGCAAGATTAGTTTTGCACTTTTTTTTTTATTTCACTGCGAAAATGTGCCA